ATCCGCAAATAAACAGATGAAGAAGAGGAGGATGATGATGGTCCAGTGCATACAAAGAGAAAGGTTTGTAGTTTTAGTTTCCACGTTCTTATTTTTATGAATGTAACAATGCAGTTACTCAAGGATGTTAGAGTGAAAAGGATTTGTTTGTACTATTAGTATTATAATTCTATAGAAGAATGTTCTTTTCAAATAATCTCAGTTAACTAAATATATAAGCTAGTTGCAGTGATTTTTACGCTGACAATGCACTGCAATCAAATTTATATGCATCAGTATGTCTTAGATCATTTGCAGTAGTTGTGTCCTGCTTTTACAGTTGCTATGTAAGCAGACTTATATGTACAGGTGCTCACCACTGCCAAAACACATGTAACTGACTACAACAAAACACAGAATCACAGTTTTGTTGCTACTTTAGTTGCTTCTTCACTTAGCATGTAGAGACATACAGGAATAACTGAATATTTCTTTTAAATGTGCCACAAATGTCTTTTAACCTATGTTTTGTAGTAACCAAGAGAAGAGTCATCGCAGAAGAAATGGCAGAAGTTCCTCAAACACCTGTGAACACCGAGCAGTGCTTGGAGTCAGACAGTGGACATCATCTTTATTATACTTCTCTGACTGGACTAGCAAGGAGCAGTTCGAGTCAATGAGAAAGTAAGTTCAAGTACATGTTATGAAGTATTCTAATTTGTTGAGATAGTGAATTAGGGGGTTTTGTTAAATGTGAGCCAAAAGCATCATAATTAAAAGAACCAAAGACTTAAACTACTTCAGTCTGTGTGCATTGAATTTATTTAAATCACGAGTTTCACAATTTGAGTTGAATTACTGAAATAAATTAACTTTTCCACTGCAATCAAATTTAAATGCATCAATATGTCTGAGATCATTTGCAGTAGCTGTGCCCTGCTTTTACAGTTACTAAATGTAAGCAGACTTATATGTTCAGGTGCTCACCAATATCAAAACACATGTAACTGATTACAACAAAACAGAATCACAGTTTTGTTGCTACTTTAGTTGCTTCTTCACTTAGCATACAGGAATAACTGAATATTTCTCTTAAATGTGCCACAAATGTCTTTTAACAATGTTTTGTAGTAACCGAGAGAAGTGTCATCACAGAAGTTCCTCAGACAGCTGTGAACACTGAGCAGTGCTTGGGGTCAGACAGTAGACTTCATCTTTATTATACTTCTCTGACTGGACTAGCAAGGAGCAGTTAGAGTCCATGAGAAAGTAAGTTCAAGTACATGTCTGCACTGAGCATGATTATACTATGTAATATAATGTTTTCTGCAACAATTGGGGGAATCTTAACTGAGGAGACAAACTGACCAACAGGAAGCTATGGATGTGTAATTTTCAAGCAATTTATTGTGGCATTCACTCTTATTTTTACTAGTGAAAAGTGTTCCTACTAATTTACTTAAAAGTATAGTTAACCCAGAATTCTGTCATCATTTACATTATTACATCAATTCCCCCTCATTTTTTTTCAAACCCCTAACTGTTGTTTTTCTGCAGAAGTCAAAAGAAGGTACTTTGAAGAATTCTGGTAATCAAAACCAACAGGTTTTTCAAGTGTAGACGACATAAAGGGAGTAAATGATTTTCATTTTTGGGTAAAATATCCCTTTAATTAGGATGATACACACTTGAAATTCCAATCATACTGGACACAGCCACTTAATGTGCTAGAATTAAATGGGTAAATAATAATAATAAGTAAATAGTCTTTCAAACAACATGTGCTTTAATACAATATATACAGTAGTCAACATTTGTAGTGGATCAAAAAAGTTCATCAAAGTTTTCCAAGGACAAGAACGGGTATGGTTTTGGTTTTAGGACAACTTTGAAGAAATGTTTTGATCCACTTCAAATGTTGACTACTGTATATTTCATTTCATTCAGTTTGGTGCATTCAGTTAGACCTTTAGTAATACTTGTTCATTATTTGCTCTTTACAGGTGCAGAAATGAAAGCTCCCAATCAAAGAACTCACTAGACTAAGATGTGGAAAGACATGCTGCACAATGACCCACAATGAGCAACAACCAAGAACGGTATCCACTGATTACCTTTAAAAATGATTCATGGTAACAGTTAGGTAATAATTATTTAAATTATTTTACCAAGTACAAAATGTTTAATTCCAAAACTTTGCCATTTACCAATGTGTTTTTCAAAACACCTTTTAAATGTTTTATGTTTTAACCTTTATTTATTAAATGTTACAGTTCAAGTGTACATATAAATGCCTCCTTCATTCAAGTAAATGCTAGGGATGTGCGGGTCTAGTCGACTAGTCGACTAAACGGTACAGCTCCTACTAGTCGACACTGAAAACAATAGTCGATTACACGACAGAAAAAAGAAAAACAAAAACAAAAACAGGATTTTATCATTCACATTACCATCATTTTTAAAATGAAAGTAAACGTTTTGTCTAGGTAACGTTGTTCAATTTTAAATTAAATATTAATGAACCGTACAGTAGATATAGAAATGAAACTGGGCTAAGTCTGGCGTGCTGCGCAGCGCAACAGGCCGAGTCCGGCTTGGATGCGGCATTGTCGGCAAGTTAAGGCTGTTGCATCTGGTCCAGTTGATTCGGCCCAGAATCTGAGAGCGAGTACACAAGCATTCAGGCAGATGGATCCGGGCCGATGGACAAGTCTCTAGCAGGTGAAAATTTTGTACGGAGAGGGATTGTGTATGAGGTAGATGTACATAGCCTATCAGCAAACGTCAAATAGGTAAGTTTTCACTAGACTTTAGTGGAGTCAGCAGCTCGCCTGACAGTAAATCTAAGATCTAATCCTAAAGCATCTTTTTTTTTTTTTAATAATATGTTTTCCGTTGTTGGTAAAGTGTTATTTTGGTTTCCGATCACCAAGGAGAGGCTACGCAAGGTCCTAAAGATGGTGGCCACAACAAAAAAGTCACGTGACTGAAACCAATGAATAGTCGACTGATATTCGAATCATATGTTTGGGGGCAGGGGCAAAATACATTACCAAGAGTCAAGTCAGGCATTCAACAGTCATAAATACTGACGTTAACACACAGGGAAAATGTGTAACGGATGCCTTGCAGATACGTTCTGCATTTCTGTTTTGAGCTGCGCGTGCTGATGACCAGTAGAATGAAGCATTTGATATCAGGTTTTTAATCAATGGGATTTAACTTATCATTTATCTCATATAGAATACGCTTCGTTATTTATACAACATACCGTTAATACGACTTGTAGGCTATCTGCACAAAATGCCTCGAATGCACAAGTGAACGTGTCTCTCTAAAAATTCACAGCGTTTTATTATAATAGTGTTCTCATTATAATGTTATTAATATGACAGTCCCAGTCATAGTTATTAATATTCTGCATTGTTGTTTGTACTGCTCACAGTACAAGAGATAATCACCGTAGTGGCTACTACAATGAAGCGCTTTACTGCGGCGTAACTCAACCAAATGCATCTTATACGAGATAAATAATATAGACACGATATATATAAACTGGCTGAAATGTTTTGAAATCACTTGTACCCAACCTGCTCGGAAAAATCCAGTCTTTCACTTTGTCATTTTGAGTCTTGTTAAAGTTTTAAATCCCTGCCACCAAGATGCTCGTCTGTCGGTCACGGATTATGGAAAGTGAAACTTAAATCTATAGGGGTGGTTGGATTTATTCACGCACGTTAACATATTTATTTGAAGCTTCTTTCTTTTCAGATTCTTATTTACAGCATTATTTTAATAGGCTGTATATTACCTTTGAGAGAGGGAGGGAGCAATGTCAACAGCTTTGATTCCAGCACAGTCAGCTGAAATCCAGACTCTGGCGCAGTAGCACTCAGGTCGCTCTGACGTGGAAGTATCAGTTTGCTTTTATATACTCTTTTAAGCACAGATTTAACAACAGTTTAAAAGAAAAGAAAAGAAGTAAGTCTGAGAGGATTTGGATGTCTACCTTTAAAGGGCACTAGAAAATATTCTGGTTGACAGTGAATAGGACAAGGATGAGATAGCCAAAAGGGGTGGTCTCTGAAGTGGGTAAGTACTTGCATCCTTCCATCTTAGTGCATTTAATGTTTTAAAACCTTTTTATAAAATCAAATGCTCATCTTTAGTGCATCAAATACATTTTACATTAAGAAGCAATATTATGTGAGGACTGTTTAAATGGCAGATGTAAGCTGTCAGTCAAAAAAGAAAGTGTGTGGCTGTTTCTGCTGCCTGTGACAGCACCATGACTGACATATCTATATCAGGTCTGGGGAGGGAGTGGCATGTTGAAAAACTGAGGATAAGAATTAAAGAATGATTATTGGTAACACTTTATTTGACGTTGTCCTTGTTATACACATGACATGTACTTACTATTATAATAACAATAAATGATGCATAATTACATGCAAGTAACCCTAAGACAAACCCTAATCCTAACCATATAGTAAGTACATGTAATTAATTTTACTCAGTACTTAAATGTATAATGACACTGTAACAAGGACACCTTAAACTAAAGTGTAACAGTTTATTTTAGGATAATGCAAAACTCCACCCCTGGTCCATAATGTCATGAGCATCTGATCATCTATCACAGAGCTAAGCAAAATGTGCTAATGACATGCAAAGTCCGGATGTTGGGACATGCTGTCATCCAGTGCTTTCTGACTTTAGGAGAATCTCCCAAGTTTCTGGTATCTGTTCAGTACACCTTAGTGTGTCTGTTCTCCTTGTTGAGGGTGTTTGGTCAGTCGTAAGTCTTTTAGATGGTAAGAACAGAGTTGAGCACTCTTATCAGGAAATACAATTCCACTAACAACAAAAGCCAATGCACTTTAAAGCAGCGCTAAGTGGTTCTCCATAGCTGCCACTGTTCAACAAACAGGAATAGCCATCCTAATCTTGCACAGTTGGTTGATTTAAGATGCCTCACATGAGCAAGTTTCATCTCACCAGTAGTGCATGGTCTTTAGGGCCTCTGTCCTTCATCATGCAGCTGTTAACGTTTCACCTTGCACCGATGTTTGGAGTTTTGAGTTACGTTATGGACTTTGGAATGGGATATTATATGACAAGTCTTTTCAGTTCCTCGTGGTAAATCAGAGAGAAAGAAACATGCAAATCATAAAATACAGGGTGTTTTCTTAGTTTTACTCTCTTCTGCTGCAGAGCATTAGGAGTGCAAGGGAACTGTTCTGATTGACAATGTTTTTGAGGTCAGGGTAGACATACACATTGCCTGTCGTTGTGCCTGGTTGAATTTGACAACAGAGCAAGCAGTACAATTGCTTCAACAATCAAATGTGTGGTCACCACTCTTTGATGTAGTTGCCAATCAGCTTTTGTGACCCTGTTTTGCTTCCATTTCCAGAGCAAAAGCTGGATCATAGATAGGAGTTTAACATTTTTTTTTTAATTATGCGTTGTTAACTTGCCTTAATGCTTTTACAGATTTGAAAGTGTGACATCAATGGGATTTGGACCAAATAAGGAAATTTCCACACACTATGGGATGCTCAGTGACATACGGGAAAAGCTCTGTATGATGTAATGGAATGTTGAACATCTAACTAACCAGTGACTCTGGCTATAAATATTGTCCAGTTCATATCAGTCAATCATCTATATGTGGGAGTCTCAGTGATGGTAATGTCTGCTTGGGAAAAAGTAGGTCAGTAGTACTAGGCTACATGTTTGAGAGTGTCCTGAATTCCACCTCATGCCCGCATCCTGTAAACATCTGTTTCTGGTGGGCTGATTGTAAAAATGCATTGGTTATTTTCGGGCAGATACCTTTAGGAAACCTGTAGTGTGGAGCGCTAAAGATCTGGAAAGATCCGAAAAAAGTGTTCTGGATAGGATTGGAAGACTTCAGGGAATGATTAATTGAGGCTGAATAATGTACATCAGCAGTTTCAGTTGGTAACTTTTCACTTCAAATTTGTTGTGACTTTACAAGTTAACTTATAAAAATGCTTGTAACATATAGGTGTGTCCCCGACTAAAGATTTACATAGTCAAATTTGAATTTTCAAATCTTGCCGATAGTCGACTGATAGTCAAATCATATGTTTGGGGGTGGGGCAAATTACATTACCAAGAGTCAAGTCAGGCATTCAACAGTCATAAATACTGACGTTAACACACAGGGAAAATGTGTAACGGATGCCTTGCAGATACAAACGGGGTAAATAATGTTTTATGTTTTGATTAAAAGATAGTTAACATTAAATGTTAGCGAAACCCTAAGAATTCACAACATTTTTTACAATAGTGCTCTCATTATAACGTTATGTATATGACAATGTTCTGCATTTCTGTTTTGAGCTGCGCGTGCTGATGACCAGTAGAATGAAGCATTTGATATCAGGTTTTTAATCAATGGGATTTAACTTATCATTTATCTCATATAGAATACGCTTCGTTATTTATACAACATACCGTTAATACGACTTGTAGGCTATCTGCACAAAATGCCTCGAATGCACAAGTGAACGTGTCTCTCTAAAAATTCACAGCGTTTTATTATAATAGTGTTCTCATTATAATGTTATTAATATGACAGTCCCAGTCATAGTTATTAATATTCTGCATTGTTGTTTGTACTGCTCACAGTACAAGAGATAATCACCGTAGTGGCTACTACAATGAAGCGCTTTACTGCGGCGTAACTCAACCAAATGCATCTTATACGAGATAAATAATATAGACACGATATATATAAACTGGCTGAAATGTTTTGAAATCACTTGTACCCAACCTGCTCGGAAAAATCCAGTCTTTCACTTTGTCATTTTGAGTCTTGTTAAAGTTTTAAATCCCTGCCACCAAGATGCTCGTCTGTCGGTCACGGATTATGGAAAGTGAAACTTAAATCTATAGGGGTGGTTGGATTTATTCACGCACGTTAAAATATTTATTTAAAGCTTCTACTTTTCAGATTCTTATTTGCAGCATTATCATAATAGGCTGTATAT